GGATAACATAACATAAAAAGAAACTGTGTAGACAAAATATGTAAACACATTAATAAGTACATTTGAATCGGTGAAGTGTCAGTGTTATACAATTAGTTATTGCAATACACTTCAATAGGCTGTCGAGCTCAGGGACTACATGTACAATTTGATATCAGGGAGATATAAATACATATTTGTCAGAAAAACAGAAAGTTGATGCTGCTGGCAAACATGAATAAAAAATATATTCATCTAAGGAATATAACGGCAATAAATCTCAGAAATACAATATATAGAAATATACAAAATAACTCACCCTGACTAGAACAACTCTAAATTGAGTGAAATACAATGCTCTCCTCAGATTCAGGTCGCCATTCACACAGCTCGAGCTCTATATGTCAAATACATGCAATTGCACACATTTTAGTAGATTATCAAGAAAACTGTGCTTGACTGACAATAAACTCATAAAAATGGGCATAGAATATATATCAAGAACTAATTTGCATAACAATTCACTCAGTAAGAAGTTTGCTAATGCTCATAATTAAAATGGCTGTAACAGTTCCAAATTTAAATGTATTATCGTTTTGTTAAAAGTTAAATATAGTGCATAATATGGAGATCCCGTCATTTCTTTTTTTCACCACGTTTCTTTTTTATTATTTATGTACAGCCTTGCTAAATCTTGCTAAGCATTCAAAAGAGATAATGTTTGCACCTGTTATCTATATTTTAAAATCGTTTTTTGAGTATGTTCCACTATTCACAATTCTACAAAATGTTAACAGTCTATAGCCAAGACTGTTTGGACAATGAAAAGCAATACAAGTGCCCACGAACCTGCATCTCTACCTTAACCCCCTAAGGATTGCTAATTCCCCCTTTCTAACTCTTCCCCCAAAATAATATATCTCCCCTTTTAGAATGTATTGACTCACTAATTAATGAATATTCATGAGCACAGAAACTGCCACGTCATAAATAAATTAGCATAATTTAAAACAAAATTAGCATAAAGTGTAGGTACATCTTCTGGAGCCCTACCTCGATCAGTATGCATCGCTTGCATAATATTGTGAGGCGAAGTTACAAGCAAAATGCCTGACATATTTTTATCTTATGTGTAATTGACCCTGTTCTTGCTATGTGTGGTATATTTCATTTGACTTTCTTTAACGAGGATCCATACTTAAACATAATAGACAAATTCTATTCGACGTTACCTAAAAATTGCATTTAAAAACCGTTGGATGGGACTGGAGAATTTTTTTTTTGCAAAATATTTAATTCACTCGTATCTCCAAGTGTCTATATGTTTTAGTCGTGTTTTCAAAAGTGTTGTTCTCGTAAAATGTTTAACTCAAATCTTTTTCACCCATCAATATGATTTCCTCTCCCCAGTCCCCATTCCAAATTTTCAATAGGAACCCCCCATACATTTACAATTAATTGTTTGCTAGTAGATACGTTGGTTTCTGAAAAACCTTTTCAAAAATTTATCAGTAGCGTATAACCGATCTATCTGAGCATTTGTAATTGTGACAACTGGATTGGCTATAATAATTTGTTCAATGATCCACGGTATGCCGCAAAGCCGAGCAGATTTTGGCTGATACGCCTATGTCGATGGATTGACTCCCAATGCACATGGACAGCTGGGTCGTCTTTTTCAGATTCATCTGTCACAGTGATTATTTTGATTGGTAAATGGCAGTTTTCAAATTTATAATTGTTTTATGTTTATAAAATTTAAATTTTTGAATTAAACCACTGTTCTGTGCATTTAATTATCACATGAACAGCTTTTATGGAAATTTATAAAACATACACCTTGCTTACTGCCATGAATCTCTAAACACGTTGTGATTGGTTTAGTTGTTTGAAATGTATGAAACTCTTAGAACTATTTTATATAAAACAAATTTATGCTTTTATAAAATCAGAATACAAACCTGTGCTCTTTGTTTTAAAATTTAAAATTGATTGTTATGTTATGATTGGATACATTTAATACCAATTGCAAGGAATAAATTTACAAAAGTTGAAAAATTATTCATTTCATAAGTAAGCAGAATGTTAAATATATGCCACAAAGGAAATTAAAGGGGGGAGTCGTCACCTGCGCATGCGTCAGGTGGCCATAGCGTGTCATTGTTTACAAACAAGCGTCTACACATGAGCCTTTGTGTTTTTAGCTTGTGTTGTTATCGTCGCTTGGGACTCAATTCTCGCATGTGTGCAGGTGACCACCCTCCCGCTTTAACTTGATATGTAAACGTTGCACTGATGGTTGTGTAATACCAACACTAAGGTCATTGGTCGAATGGTGTTGCATCAAATTTTATTAATCAAAAAATATAATCAGGCCTTCTTGAAAATGATTAATATTTCAGTTGAAAAAACTAATTATACACTGTCAGAAATTTTATTTTCTCATAAGACTAGTAATTTACTTTTTTACGACAAAGAGGCAGCTTAAGTAAATCAGCTACCAGTAATTTAAATGTCACAGATCATTTAGAATAAATAAATTACCTAACAGTCCCTCTACAACTGATTATATCCGTGCGCTACACAAATTTGTTATTTTATTTCATTTTCTTATTTGTTTCAGCTCCATTTCTCCATTACTTATAACTGCTGTAGAAAGACATCGCAATGACGATTTCTTATTCACTGAAAGTCTCCAAAGCCGATGTGTGTTCGTTTTCTCGTCTCCTGTTCATGTGGCGAGGCAGCATCTATAAACTAATCTACAAAGAACTAGTGGTGTTTCTACTCCTCTACTATGAACTGGCCCTCATCTATAGACTTGCATTGACTGGTACTCAACAACATTCATTTGAATCGGTATGTCTCAGCTTTTACACTTATCTATCACTATGACTATATCAATGTATAAATTAATTGAGGGGGGTGACACGGCGTACCACAAGCAGAATCCTTCCTTTTCCAAGACAGCCATAATGCGAAAAGGGTACCAAGCGCGTCCCCATTAAATGCAAATATAAATCCCAAATTGCATTTGCTGTCTTTGCTGTATTACTTATTTTAACGCAGTCCGAAAATAGGGGACTTATGTTTTGAGCTCCGTGCGTCCGTGCGTCCGTGCGTGGGTGTGTCTACCTATCCAAGTGACGCCAAATCCATGGACGCACACTAACAAAGTGAGCCCATTGGTGAATAGTGAAACCCCTTCACTTTGTTTCATAATTTATATTAATATTTAATCGAATTTAAGTCAGGTTTGCGAAGCTTAGGTTTAGTATC